AAGTTTTAAAAGATGCCATGGTCATATGATAAATAATGGTTTAATTATGAGTTCTTAAAGTGGCAGAATGGCAGTAATAAATAGATCAAAGACTTCCCAACGCTAATATCCATATGAGTAATAAACAACAGTATTTCCTACCCTGTAATGCACATCATGGTTCTCATCCATAAGGCTTAACATTTTTTTGCCTGTACACAGGCACGCACAGACTCACAGAGCAGATGTGAAAGTCACAAGTCTCTAATGTAATTCATGCTCCAGTTCAGCATCTGTGAGGGTATGCTGAAGACAACGCTGTGACTAACACGGCCGAGAAATTCCTGAGAGAATAAGAATGATTGTTAACAGTTCTGAGAAACTCTTCCTCTGGGTTATTATCCCATAGAGAGAGATAGTGGGTTTTAGCGGTCTTAACCAAACAAACAGCTCTGAGAAACTAGATATATTCCCTCTGAGATTACAGCAAATGCAAAACAAAAAACGATCTTATGTTAAAAGTGGTTTGAAGCATTCATGATACTGTCAGTGAAGTACTTGGATTTCTTCCTGCTTTGTGCCTCAGGTCAAAGTTTCCATACTCCCAAAGGAAACTATGCATTGGCTGAAAAAAAGAGAAAGTCTAATTTACCCTACTGTTATTTTTTCACAGCTGGCTTGATTGAACAGGGGTGAGGCATGGGCACATTTAGTGACTATTACAGCCACCAGAAAACATTGCAGTAGCAACTCACATGGGCTGCTATTTAAATGATTTACATCTGGGACACTGCTCACACACACCAAAGTAACTGAAAGGGAAGTTGCTTGATAACTCTATTTTCTTCTAGCTTTCTCCAACTCCTTGAGCTAGCTGGCAAATGAAAAATGTGATCCAGTCCCAGGGCACTGAAAGCCAGAAATAAAGTAAAAAAACTACCTGACTAACAGCTTAAGATCATTTTAAGATTTCAGAAGTGTCAGCCTCCTTTTCACCACCTTCTTACATTGCCTAAAGCAACTTTGCCTAAAGCAACATCCTAACACAGGTTAAACACACAAAGTAACACTTTCATATATACATGAGCAGGAACTATTTCCTCAACTGCCTCTCATGCATTTGAAGCTGTATCCAAGCAAATCAGGTTAACAGGGTAGATGGGGAGAAGAAAGAGAGTTTTGTGACTAAGAAGCAAGGCTACAACTCAACTGTTGTCCTGTGCTCCTTTTGTCTCTGAAAAAATAACACCAGTAAAAATATTTCTAATACCTAACCTTTAAGTTTTCTGTGTTATGTTTCTTAGAGTGCTGAGACAGTGATTAGCACAATCAAGCACTGGTTGCAGGCTGAAGTTCATTACTGGTGCATTACTGTGGCTCTCTATTTGCTGCTACATAGCACCAGAGCATCCCTTAAGAGAACATTTGATAGCATCACTCATCTATCTGCATTGTCATACAGTCCAGATGGTTGCAGTATGTAGGCAACTGGGAACCAGAGCAGCAGGAGGAGTACATCCTGCTGCAATTTTCCCTCTGGAAATGCTAATCTTGATGCATTTAGATTAGTCTGTTGGTTAGGAAGTCTACAGCTTTGGGTAGATGCACCCAAAGACCTAGCAAATGAAATAAACCAGAGCAGCTGCACTTAGTAGCTTGCCAACTGTCAAATGACCAGACTTGCCCATAAAAACTCAGTAAAAGATTACTGCAGCTCAGCCAAGTGACAGTTCCCTACTGCGCAGAGTGAATTTTCTTTTGAATTCCATAAGGGTGGCACTGTTGCAAATGGGTCTGTTATTAAAAATCAACTCAGAAATCTGTGTACTTCAGCAGGTTAACTATTACTATGATGTATGAACCCAGAGACAAAGAGGAAACAAGAATTCTTCCATTTGGCAAGTGCAATTTTATTTCTGGAGTTAAAATTTTAAACATTCTAACATGTGTACCCTGCCAGACACATTAATTGGCATGCTGGAACAATAATGCAAATGAAGAAAGTCAACATAATTAATCATCTCCGTATAAGTACAGAGTTCTCAGGAACGTAATTGCTATTTTCTGTGTTACAGAAAGAGTTTCCAAAGCTTGAAAAGGCAAGACTTCCGTGGGAATTTGATATGCCGAAGAACTATAAGCTGGCTCTCATTAGTCCAGGTAAGAAAAATCTAAACACGGTATGAAAAACAGAATACAAACTGGCAGATACAAGGAAGGAAGGAAGACAATGACATTTCTAAGGAGATATCTTGATAATATAAAGAAATCACTAAGTCTACAACTGTAATCATACTTATTTAAAGCCAGGTTAGTATAGATTTTACGGTCTTGAGGAATTTACTTAAACAGAAGACATACAGTCACCAAGAACGAAATGTTACACTTCGGGAGTTGCTGCACAGTTTAGTCACGTATATAGCCTCACTGAGAACAAAGTATGTAACTGCAGACTGTGAATCACACCCAAATTTTCCACCCATGACTATATGAGGGAGTAATTTTTGCCACCAATACAAATACTTGGTAGTGTAACTGTGACTACACATAATGATTTTATCTGGACTACTTACTAGCTATTTACTTTGCTGGTAGAGAATATTGTTTATACTGTATAAGCATCACCAAAATTATTCCTTATAATGCTAGCACTCCTGGTATTACCGGTTCTTCCACCGGCAGGGTTTTTATACTCAAAATAACTCACAACTGAACAACAGAAATGGACATTAAGAGAGCTACAAGAATATGAGTGAGAACAGAAGTTACCTATATACATTCCCATTTCCCCATGGAAAAATCACTATGTACGGAGTAAAAATATAATCCTTTTCGCACCCAAACTGGCCTGTGAGCATGTAATCACAAGTGTTGCATGTGGGAACAGACATCTGTGTTCTATCTTCGTTTGTCATTTTGGTGTCTATTTCCAGGAAAATTGGAAGATAATTTTCAAAATTTGGCCCCCCAAAATAGCAAAAAATAGATTGAGTTCTCACAGACCAAACTATACTCACTGGCAGTCCTTCTCAATGATCTTGCGAAAATTTCTTGCTGTCTGTCTATAGAATGATTTGAAATTACTCAAATTACCTGAAGAATCTGAAGTCTCTAGTTCAGTTTACAGGTCTGATTGCTCACATTTCTTTCAAATAAAGATGCATTTCATGTTTTTATTGATTTCCTATTAATTTACAAAGCAGCAGGTTTCTGCAGGGGAAAGACTTCATTTCTCCAGTGTAGCCTTCTTTAAAAAAATGTCCTGCAGAGAAAAAGAAAAAGAGACAGTGAAACAGATGCCGTTAGCTGTAGTGCAATTTTTAGTCTTTCTGGCAAGCACAATTTTATATAACCGGTTCTCAGTTGAGCCATTTCGATTTGTATTGTAAGTAATAATTGAGAAGACCACAAATACCCACATGCAACAAGAAATCTTACCTTGGTTCTTCCAGAGTTCGATGACTGTACTTACAGTAATTACAGCATAGAGAAACCATACACAGTAAACTGAGTTTGTGACACAAGGATAATTTCGGGACAAACCCATTGTATAGTGACAAATTAACACAGGCAAACTTCAGTGAAAACCAAACAGTCATGAATACTTGTTTACAGGCACACTGTCATATAATACAAATGGAAACTTGTTCTTTGGACAAGCCTTAACAAGGGAGTAATTTGTAGTTACTTATATACTTATGAATTCACAGCCACAGCAGTGGTCCACAGATAAGGAAAAAAAATGTTAGATTAATCCTACTTGTTTAGGCAGGGCCTATTTATTTTATAGTCTGGCAGATGATAAACCAATTCTGCAGAGGACCTCTAAGGGACATTATGAAGTAGAAACTAAATACTTGTATTTTAATAGGACAAGCATGGCAAAAGCCCAAAGAACATTCCAGCATGCCAGGGACAAAAGCAAGCATGGCATGCAATGCACAGATAGGCACATGCTGAAAAAATAATGCAGCCTCACAACGGACAGTCCTGTTAACCCAGGTCTGGCTATTCACCATGAGGGAACACTGCAGTGGCTACAGCTGCAGGAGATACCCTTGTCTGTACACAGGTGCACTGCCTTCAAAAACCTTTCTGTGTGTGTTGGGACTGACTGTTGATGAGGGAATAGTAGGGCTAAATATACAGGATATGAAAACAAAAATTAAGTGACAGTTATTTCCTTGCTTGTTAGTTTATGCACGGGTATTAAATACAATTTTACAGCAATCTTCAGTTGGTGTTAGCCAGTAAAACTATACTGATTTACAGCAACTAATACTCTAGTATTCTACCTAGAACAAGAGTCCAGGTTAACAGTGACTACGAAACTTTCCTCTGCCATTTTACTTGGCAGTAAGGATATCTTCAAATCTTTTCCTAGCTAGAAAACATTGGTCTTGCTTTTGAAACTATTTGTTCGAAGTAAAGCAAGTTGTATCGACTCGATACCTCTATCACACTTTAAGCCATGCATTCTTCTGTTTCACATCTATGCTGATTATCTTTAAAAAAAGGACTCTGAACATCACAAATTGCCAAGACACCCAAATCACTTAGCTCTTTTGAAAATTTTACACTTAGGTTGGTTTAGACAAGGATAGTAACTGCAATTTAATTAAAAAACCCCACAAAACAGTATTAAATGTCTAGTTGTGATGAAGAATGCTTATGGGCATTTGTTACCCTAAATTATGATCCATGGGATCACAGTAAATGATCCAGACCAAAGTAAGTGATTTCCAAAAAAAAACCAAAGCCACCCAAAAATCCTCAAACTTTAAACCGAAAGTATGAGTGTGTAGTCACGTACAAGCAATTCTCAGAATCACCATTTTGAAAAGTCTGGGAACCACTGCTGTAATGCATGATAACTACTTATAACTATCAAATTAGCAACCATGTGACACAAAAGGTTATGTAGTCCACAAGAAGTAAATACTTGAAATATGTCTGATAAAAAAAGCAAACTGTATAGACTAGCCGTTTAATCCCCAGGGAAAGAAAGCTTATGCACTTACATTTCATCATCATATTCCTTTGGAGGTGATGCCGCAATGACTAAGTCAATCCAATCCTGAAAAAGAAATGCACAGGCAAACATGTGTTGCTAAATACTGCTTTTAGAGATGGTTATTGGACCACCATGGAATATCAGATGGAGAATCAGGAAAGCAATCTATTCCTGGAAAACCACAGGGAGCGGCAGAAAGATCGCTATGAAAGACGTCTATAGGAAGATCATTTCAAGATTGAGCTGTTAGATTTGTCTCCTGAAATTAAAGAAAAATCTACTGGTCTTGCAACAAGCTTTTAAAAATAATTATTCTAAGAATCATCCTGTATTTGGTCATCTTAGCAATTAATACAGTTCTTGCTGAGAAAACACTCGCTGTAGCTGAAGTGCAGTGTTGCTTGTACATTAAGAAATCAAAGATAAGATAAAGCTATTATCATAAAATTGCAATCAGCTTGCAAGTAATTTTCAGTATCAAAGAGAGATTCTACAGATAAATGTACTATAAACACTCAGAATGTAATGTGTTTAAACACCAATCTTCACATGTGGCTAAATGCCGTGAACTTTCACAGTAAATTACATGCATGATTTTCAGAGATGCTATATATCAGTACCATCTGCAGATTTTGGCTCACTTTGGTAGTACATGGCATACCTGTTACTTCTCATGTTTGCAACCTTACTTGTGTTGATGTGACAATGTCATGTAAGAAAAGTATACCTCATATGAGCATTGTAGGTAGAATGAAGAAGTATTCCAGGTTACTTACCCCACCCATGTTCCAAGCTTTTGCTAGAGTTGCCTGTGCTTCTGCCAGCCTGCTGTCAATTAATATCTTGCCATTTACAGCTAGTATTTCATCCCCTTTCACTATGCCTCCTGGTGAAAAGACCAATAGGGTATATATACACGTAAGCAAAAAAATTTTGTGAGTCTTTCCTGTCCCACATTTATGCAGTACTAAGTATAATGAAAAGTGTCTTCAATAGATGTGAAGACTTACACTAAAAATTGACATAGACAAGAAAGGTTGCTATAGGCAAAAAGAATTTTTAGGCATGGAAAAGCCACCCTAATCTCTTATTGATCATGACCAGTAAAAAACTAGTTCAATTAGATTTTCCGTAGTAGCATTTTGCCTGTCTGGGTAATCCATCTATACAAAACATCGTTGATTGTAGGCTGTTACTACTATGAAAATGGCAGCATTGCTTAAAGACATGAAGGTATAAGTGGCATTTGTCAAGGGTTTGCAGGACTGTCATTCCTTTGCAAGAACATGTGTAATGTTTAGTCCTTAGAACTGATTTTGACTTGCTAATCTGGAATTAAATACAATCAGCTAACTGGGACTAGATTTGAGGAGGGGAAAACACAGATGGTAAGGGGACAGCCTTAGCTTTAAGAGACCCTCACAACAGCGAAGAGTCAAAGAGAAACAGAGTACTTCAGAGTTCAAATGGGTGAGATGTTTTCACAAGAGTGACTTGAACTTAGGTGCAGGTTGGGACAAAGTCAGCAAAGACAACATAAGGAGATATTGTCCTGTCCGTTCACCTGGTCATCACCAGAGTTCTCAAGGAAAGGATGAGAGATATTGGCCACCAGTATCTGGATGTGTTGGTATGCACGTTCTTGTGCCTTCCAGAGAGCTAAGCTGTTAGCCAGAAGGCTCTGGCCTTTAGTGGGATTTTGGGAGTAAAGCCAGGTGTTTTATGAAACAAATTACTATTGAAAGTAGCATTAAGAACAAAACTAAGCAGTATAGTGTAGCCATGGTCAGGTAATTGCTTTGCACATCGAAGTACTACAAATGTCATTGCTTGGAAACCGTGAAATAATGGAGACCATATTCTGCTTTCCTTAATTAACAGAATACACCAGAGAATCAGGTGTTGGGTGGCTTGTTGTTTGTTTTTTTTTTTTTTTTTAATATCAGACTGCAGAAAGGGGAGTCCTTTTTAAGAGAATGGCTCTACATTTTCAGGCCACGTTACTGAAAATTCTGTAATGATAAAAATACAGCAGCAGTGACCATTTCTTCTTAAACACTATTTATAAATTTTACATAATTACTAATTTAAGCAGCACCCTTCAAACCATGAGCCTCTCCCTGATCTGCCCTTAGAGCTGAGACAGAACTTGGCTGCCTTGGACAATTTAAGTGTGCCTCTCAGTGCTAGGCATAGCTATGAAGTCAGCCAACAACTCTGAGCCAGCGTAAGGAGCCACTTTGCAGCAGCATTCAAATTCCCCATTGTTACTCACCATGTTTGTCTGCAGCACCACCCTCATAGATGGCAGACACGGCTATCTTTCCGATTGGAGAATCGATTCCTCCCTCGACTGCAAGGTCTAATGATCCTTCCTATTAAAAGAGTTTTAGTTCAGAAAAGGCTGTTAATTTTTGCCATCAATAGGAACTTAATCTTTCCTTTTTCCCAGTAAATGCGACCGTACATTAAATGCTTACATGAACCCTTTAAATATTGACCAATCAAATAATATAGTATTTACCTTTTTAATTCTTAATAGCCGTACATCTTTTCCCATAATCTGCTCTGGGGTAAACTATGAAAAGATAGAATGATTAGCCATTTCCACCTTGGAAACACAAAACAATCAGGCTGATCTATGTAGTTCATAGGAGAAAAGGGACCTTTCCCTCCTCCAAAATAGTGTTAGAGGAAGATCAGAACACCAGATCATCTTTTCCTGTAAGAAAGCTCCTTTTCAACATGACTGGAAAAGACAAATACACAAGCCCCGACAAACCAACAAGCAAGAATCTTACCCCCTCCCAGCCCTCAAAATCAAGGATGTGTTTTTTCCAGTGTATTTCACATTAAAAAGTGAGACATATTTGAATTCTCTCCTTACCATTGAATATGGATCAAAATCTTCCAAATATTTCTGGAAGCCCTGAGAATAAGACAATACTTAATTGTAAAAACATCAGGCTCACGCACACATTTAACACACAAACTCCATTTTATTTATTAGTGAGAGAACATATAATTCTGTAAGCTATGAAAGACGACAGTAAATGGAGAAAAGCACAGAAAGGCAGCAAAAAGTCCGTCCTGACAGTCAGAAGACATTTCAAAACCTTATGACAGATCAGCAGTTTGAACTGGTCAGACTAAGGAGCAGTTTTGAGGAATAGATTACCACTCTGTCACCTCCACAGTTCCTCTCTACACCTGACAGAACAGAAACAAATCTTGAAAGCATCATGGGCAGGTATGTTCTGCCACACTCTTCTGAGCAATGTTTCTTGGGACTATCACCATGCTGGGCACTATCTAACACAGTCAAAAGTGACAGGCTCCAATTTGCCTGTCAGCAACACTACTCCACAGAGTCTGGGTTGTAGGACCTCTTCTAGCCCCCTTCTCTCCTCCTTTCCACAGAGTTTCAGGAAGTTGGCTCCATACCACAAGCGAATGCAGAACAACAACTGATTTTGTTTTCATATCATTCTGTGGAGGATTTAAAAGTTTTGGCAGGAAGTGTCTGAAATTCTGAAACGGGGAAGATAATATTGCAGTTAAGTAGAGCAGGATTTAAGCTTTGAGAGGACCTATACCTTCTTAAACTTTCAAAACCTAGTGAATTACTCTTGTCAGACCAACACTGCAGGAAAAAAGCGGGAGTTACCTTTTCTGCAAAGATGAGAGCTCCCCAGTCAGCAATCAGGAATCAATGGTGTTTGGGTGGTGGTTTCTTGAGGAGGATTAGTAGTTACCGGGTGAGACTGTATGGGCAATGCTAGAGGTTTATATAAACTCTGCACTCACCCTGCACGCTAAAGTAAGAACTTCAGGACTTAACAGAAATCTTTACTGAGGCACCTAAATGCTGTATCACTCTTGCAGCTTCAAGCTGCAATAACCTGGGGATGTGGGAACAACGCAGAACCACATAACCCTTTGCCGACACAGCAGGCAAGCCAGCATCTGACACAGACCAGCAGTTCAGTGCGTGATCAAGCTTGATATATTCATTATTGCCCTCTTTTGTCCTGGATCCATCTGATGACAAAGTCTATTCTACTTTCAGACTCAGCTAACCCTTTTTCCACTTGTAAGTCAAATGCACAGCTTAAGGTTCCTCTGGTATCTTTAAGGGCTGGCTGTTAAAGGACAAAGTTGCAGCAGAAAACACTAATGCCTCCTCCTCTTATCATCTTTATCATCTCTCTCATTCAGACTATGAATGATCCTCTGGGGTCAGATCTCATCCTTACCACCACTGCCTCTAACAAAGTCGGTGAGCACTACTACACAGCTCTGCATTAGCAGACCCTCAAATGTACGACAGCGCTGCCCATTTGTTTTACCACCTTATATAGACCATGCAACAGTGGTGCCGATGACTCTTGCGTGGACTGGCAGTCGTTACACACAGGCATGCTGAATTGTACAGCATGAACCCTGGCTTTCCTGCAGGCTGCCTCTCTCTTCACCTTTTCCCTGAGATCAGAAGACCAACTCAAGCAAAACAACTCCTCATTTTGTGTTTCTTCTGAAACAGAAGAAACATTTGCAAGGGTTGAAGCACGACTTTGTCTCCCCAGGCTCCAGAGAGCTAAATCTTCAGGGCACAACTGCAGAACTTTTGCTTACTGTCACAAGTGAAGTAGGGAAATATTTGTAGGGAAATCTTTTGGGAGTAAGAACATGAGAGACCTTATTTAGCATTTAAATTAGTATGGGTTGCATTACATTTGTTAACTGCTAACTTTGAGGAACTAAATAAATGGGAATTTGATCACAGATTTCAGCGAGAGTAGAAATCATCCCAGGGGAAAAAACCCAATCATTCATTCATTCACAAAGCGTATTAATATTATGAATAGTTTTACTAAAAATGTAAGAGAAACATTTTACAATGATAGCTACCTAAACAACTAACAGTTTGAATAGCTGAATTTGTATTGACCTTTGGAATCATGGCTGAAGTAGACATCTCTGGTCTTGGAGCAAAGAACTTGGAGGAAAGAACTCCAATCTCAGCCAAGTCATTCATTACGTAATCTAAAGGAAGTCATTGAACTCTTTGTCCCATGTCGCCCTCATGAAAAACAGATGTTGCCCTTGAAGAAAGTTTTCTTGGGAAAACATTTTTTGAACAGGAAAAAAGCCCCTAAACCCCACAACAAAAAACCTGCAAGCAAGGAAGTGATACGATCTGGATCCAATAACGTACAAATACAGCTATGATACAATGAAGACATCTACTGAACTGTAATAAATCTTCCCAGAAATGGGCATCACAAAATCGGAGACCAGAGAGCGCACTCCATATCTAATGCTTTCTTGACTTACAATAACGTTCATAGGACTGAACATAAGTAGAATCTGGAACATTAAAACGTTTGATTGCACTGAAACAACTACCTGTCTGGACTTCAGGATGAAAGATAAAGTTACTACTTAAAAAAAGAAAAAACAACCCCAAAACCAAAACACAAGCACCTAAGCCAATGGTACTGCTCACTGAAGTTTATAGGATCAATAGTCAATAGCAATTAAGACCTGACTGAAATAAACAAAAAAGAATTGAAAGAGAAACCCATGACCAGATATAACAAAATTTTCCAAAAAACACAGTTGCTGAGAACACAACTGTTATTTATACAGAACATACTACCATTCAACAGCAACTGAATAATCTCAAAGTTTGATTTATCTCAGTCAAATCCAGTTTTCCGTTCCAGATCTAGATTGAAACTGATCAAAAGAAGAAAAAATTAATCATTAATCTTAATGGTTTACCACTCAAAAGCTCACGCTGTGAGCTCACAATTGCGTGCCAACATTTTTGTATAACATGGCAATGCATCTAACTTTAAAGGTGTTTTGCACAGAAACTGGCACATTTAACAGCAGCGGAGAAGTTAAGCACACAGTTCACTTCTACAAAGGACCATCTATTGAACCACCAGTCAACCAAAGAGGAAGAGATGAAAACTTCATCACTATGACAGAGGAAAGCAATAAAAGTAGTAATACAGCAGAAAAATCCTACATAATACAGAAAGGCTATATGAATAATACAGCACCACCAGTTCCTCTGATTTCCTACCAATAACTATGTTATGATAATAGCTCTATTTGTTAAACTGAGAAAATATTTTATTACTGAAAGCATTGTAACTGAAGACTAAAAGAAACAAGGAAACTTTAGGAATATATAAAAAAAAAATTGCCAGTATCAGATCAGTTATCAGTGTTGAACTATCTTGAAGATTGCACTAACCACATAAGTAAGTAGTTACAGATGGTTCAACCTGAAGGATTTACTATCCTCTCATTCTGTCTAGACTAGCAGGAGCCACAGGCACACACTGAAAGTTTACAAAGACTGGCAGTTTTCATGCACTAGGGCTGTCTTGCATCCTCTGTTTTAGAAACTGAGCAACAGGATTAGAAAGGAAAGTTTTAAATCTATGATCAGTCAAAACAAGAAGTACCACACAAAACATGGAAAATGTTATTTTACTTGTTTTTTGTTAGGTCTAAATGATGAATTGTAAACCACCATCCTTCTAAACATCTCTTGTGGCTGCAAAAGAAAAAAAATTGCCAAGCCAGGTATTAACTTTTTGCTGTAAATAAGTATCACCTACTCACAAATAATCTCACTGCTTTTTTTGCTCCTTTAGGGACTGAATCACACTTGCACTTGTTAGTGCTTGTTCTCTGTACCATCCCAAAATGAGAGAACACACACAGTGAAATAGTACTGAATACAGAGAGGAAAGAATTCTAGAGAAACTACATAAAAAATGCACATTTCCATAGCACAAGATTTCTTAAAAATATTTTCCATTACTCCTTTTATCTCTAATTTCTACAGAACAGTGCTGGGGTCTCTTCTCCATGATTTTTGAAAAAATAATTGAAAAAACCATGGACAAAATGCTAGACAAGTGATTTCCAAAATATTGAAAAGTCATGATAAATATATATTACACATTTAAGATTTGCTCTCCTACCAGGGATTTCCTATACTGAAAGGTGAATTCCATTCTTAAATTCCTCATGAAGTTGATAAACTGAAAGAAAAGATATGTGTATTTGGGCTCATCCTAAAAGAAGCAATGACCTAAATACCAATTACTAGTATTCTTTCTACTTAAAGAAAAATTCCTCTTGAATTTAATTGACTTATTTCTGAGGGGTCTTGCTTCAATTTGGATATCTACAAGTGATCTACAATTTTGATCAATGTTCACAATATTGATTATTAACTGCTGGATTTTATTTTATTGTATTGGGCTTCAATGATTTTAATCCCATATTGATTCTGTTTTTCTTTCAGTTTCAGTGCATTAAAAAAATTGTTCACTGTAGTTTTGAATCACTTAAAATACAGAACCTCTTATTAAGTTAAAAAAATTTTCAAAAATAAAGTGGGCTAAAAAAAAAAATTTATACAAAACACTCCTCACACCTCTCCAGCCTCCACTCAAAATCCTGCATCAAATCAGGTAATTTATCTGAGTCTTCTGAAACAAGACCAACTTTCTACAGACTAAACCATGGTATTTACATTTCCAAACTCAATTTGCTTTAAAACAAATGACTATGTATCAGTTTCACTACTGATTCTATCAATGTCCTATAGCCATACCATTACTTGGAAAAATATCTCTTCCTGAGTTAATGAAAGATTTGTGGTCTGTGTTTAATTAACACAAAGACTGAGTTTTTGTCTCGAAGGACTTTTGGGCAAGTCTGGCAAGATTTTCCACAAAACTCTTCGGCCCCTCTCTAGCTACTTAGAAAAAAAAAAAAAAATTAATTTCCTTTTCAACACAGATGGCTTTGGTATAGCTATGGCCGATAATAACTGAAATTTCCAATCATCGCACATCTTACCACAGAGTATCTAAGCACCTGTCTCAGGTCCCTTGACTGCAGTCCTGCAGAATCAGGCTTCAAAATTGCAAAGTAGAGGAAAGCTTAAATATTCGTTCTTCCTTTCAGAAATGCTGCATCCAACCACAAAGGAGGGAGGGAGGAAAAATCTTTAGTAGCAGCAAGTGCAAAGACTTCTAACTCACACAACAGGATACTTGTGATAGTTGGGAGAGCAGAGACTAATATTCATGTTGGTTTTGCTTCTCTGAAAACCCCACCACTAAATCATAACAATCTTCTCCTGTTCTCTGAGCCAAAATTTAATTAGTTTTGCCATGAGTGTATTCCAATTCACTCCAGTACAGCAGAGACAAACAGTTCACACTGATTTTGACCCAGAGCAGCCCTTGGCATTCAAGGCTACACTCAAGGTTTAATCCTCACCCATCACTTCCCTATTTATAAGTGAGAACAACTTCATTTTCATGAACTGTTAAAAGACCTGGGACTTCTGACCTGAATTCAGTTAATATGAAAACTTAAGTCACAACAGACACTTCACTGTTCCTATCTGGCCCAACTACCTTCCAGATAACAGGAATGTTTTACCCGTTCTTGCATGTTTATTTTATTTTTATGTTCATGCTTTTCATCTTCTTTACTAGTGAATTGCTCGAGTATAGGCTCACTTGATTAGCTCTTTGAATCAAGTAAATCCATCAAGATCAGTTTCTAGAGTTTGGTACTCAGGACAGATAAATTCAGATAAAAACAAGGTAGAAGAAATTATGTGCATTATGTCATATTAAGACATAAAGACTGCAGTTCCATAAGGTGTGTGCAATCTAGCAAGACAAGAAATAGGGTAGCAAAAGATACTTTGCCTTTATTGATACTTCCCTCTGCTAAGAGAAGCTGAACCCGTCCTGTATCTGAACCATTGACTTAAGTAAGGACACACCACCTCCCCCCAGAACAAAAAAACAAAAAACATTCCTTCCACATGAAATCAAATTATAATTCTTATACATTTCTGGGGATAAGCAGGTACCTCCTTGCCTGTTTTGTCATACGCTAGCCTTTTCATTTTTTAACTAATAGAAGTAGCCTCCCTCTTTACCTCGGTATCCATGCAAGCCTTACTCCACATACTACTGTGACTTCATAGCAGCCAGGATGAATACTCTTTACTGCATTGTCATAAAAGGAAGTAAGAGGTAACAGGTTTACAAAAACAATTTATAGATCAATGTTTCTCCTAAAGTCCTATCAGAATATTGCTCCCACTGAAATTGTGATCTTTGAACTAACATAAGGCAGTTTGGGAATGAAGATAATAGACATCTGAAACATTTTAGCAGACTTGTGATTTGGAAAACGTGCATGCATGCACAACAAATCATAAGAAATTTCCCTATGGAGGTGGATCTTATTGTCAATTTCTCAAACTAATCACAAGCAGTCAGTAACAAAAAACACAAGCAACATGTGTCTGATCACACATAAAAGTATTATCAATTTTGCAAACTAGTTTATATGTGCACACCAGGCATTTATTTTCAAGAGCTAGATTATACTAACTGCAGATTATGATTTTACTCTGTTCATTCCTCCCCTAAGGAATTTTAAATTGCTTAGAGATGCTGAATTACTGAACACAATCAAAATGAAAGCTCCAAAGCATACAACTGAAGGAAATATCTACACTAGAGGGATCTGAATTTGTTTTTAGTTTGTGTACCTGCCATCTCTTGAGCAACTTATAAACACTGCTTTCAGTTGTCATTTCAATCCATTTATAATATAGACGTTTCAAGATGACTATGTCTGTGGGAAAACTGGTTACTAAGTATCACTAAAATTTGTTCAGACTGTAACTGGGAAAATAAAGGACAAGAGTATCTAAATTATTAAAGCAGAAATGACAAAAAAATCCATCTCACTTTAATGAAAGACAGCTAGGAATATTGTGCCCATCGTTTATTGTCAGACATAGCATAAGCTTGTAATTAAATAAATGAAATGCAAGTGTGATCTATTTTCCATCACTTAGAAAGCTCACATGTTGCAATACACTGCCTTGCTCATTTAAATGTACATATACACACATGTCCACACACATGCATATAACAGACACACAGCTCTAATTGTAACAGCGTAAGTCATGATGACCCTCGAGAATAAATACTACTAATTGGTCCATCAGCTATTTTCGATAAATTTTCAGGGCTATCGTTTGGGAGTTATCACCTGTCAAAGCAATATTTCTCTTTTTTTTCAGTAAGCATTGGCTCACCTTCCCTTATATAATACAATTCCAAAAGATGCTACGTGTCTGGTCCTAAAATACTTAGCCTAACAGTTTTTTCTTCATTTACATTTGAAACAGAAATGGAAAAGAAATAAGAAAAAGAATCTGATCGTGAGTCAACTTTGCATTGCATGACCAGTATACTGGCGTCTAAGATACAACAATGAACTTCTTTTCTCTGGAAATGAAATTATGAGTTATATATTTACATTTCAAGTATGTTCGTGACTATTCACACAGGAAAAATACAGTGTAATTCATTTTTACTATTTCATTTCTGACAAAGGAATTCAGAATCTATAAAAATACAAACCAGCATGTGAATAAATGAAAAATAAGATCTACAGAGTCTACGGCTCTATACTGCTCTGGAATTATGCACCCCAGTACAAAAATTGTCATTAAGTGACTTTTAGATCATGAAAAAAATGGAAAAGTACTCTTTTGTGCTTACCATTAGTGATCATTTGAAAATCTACATGAATTTTAGTTAGCAGAAAACAAGACAAACATTGATTCTTTGAGGACAAGTCAACAACAAATCCCACAGTACTGTAGCACTCGGAAAAAGGACATTAAAAGGCTTACCAGGGCCTCTGATTTGATCGTTGGCCTGACCATAAAGTTTGGGTCAGGATGCAGCATGACTGGTTTAGAGACTATTGGTACCCCTGGACGTCGTTGGGTAGGTGGACTTGGAGCAAGTTGCTATGGGGTTAATTTAAGAAAATTACAATACACAACGTAATTTGCACAAATCCATCATTTCACCAAGATGCCTCAATACAAATAGTTTATGGTAATGAATTTAATGACACTAATACAACAAATGGCTTACAGAATTATTTTAAGACTTACAAAGTTAACAAGCCAAAATGTAATTTCTCTTGCATCTAAATAGTAGCTTTTTCCCCTAAACTCTGACTTCACCAGCAAGATTACAGAAAAATCTCATCCCTGCTTTTGGCATTTATCCCATAAAGGCAATGAATTGAATGAGAAACTACAGGAAAAAAAAATGCTGAAGTTGAGCGCAAGAACATAGTGAACCTGAAATGAGATTTTAATTAATCTATGGCTAAATAGATCTTTTAAGATTAAATTCACCAGAACTGCAGCGATCAGCTTACCATAAAGAATTTCAAGTCAACTTATCCTGACTTAAGAGCAAGGGTTAGTTACGCTAATTACCTATCCTTGACTCTACAAAGTACAGATACCCAGAGGCATCTGAGACCTCATCATCCAGCACGTACTAACCCAACTGCACACTTCTTAGTCAAAACTCCCACTGACGTCAAGCATAGTTTTATTCAAGAAAAGAGTTCAAAACCGAGCCCTGTGGGTTTAGTTTCCGACTTAACCCCAGCAACTCCCAGCACACCCTTGTCAATGTTTCTCATAGGAAATGTGATGTATTCCAGATATTATTCATATAGTACAAGCTGTATCCTCTGAAATTCCTTGAATTGCTTCCAGCAAATTGGTTAAGCCACTTTTTTTTTTTTTAATAGGGGAATTTTTGGGGTGTTTTTTGTTTGTTTGTCTCTTTTTTTTTTTCCTTCCCTTTTTTAAATAATTTAAGAAAAAAGTTTTGAAACCAGATCTTTGAAAGTCCCTGTGGATATCCCTCAACTAATACTGTTCCACACCACAAAATATATCGTATCATTAAGCTTTCTGATCTTAGAAGAACTGGCTCACAGGTTCACAGATATCAACTGGCTCATAGGTTCACAGACATCAACTTGTTAAAGTTGCACTGGAACTGGATGATTTCTCCAGGAGATGCACAATTTAAAGGCCGACTTTTCTAGAGTGCCTCAGAACAGAGAAACCTGACATCCGGCCATCCTGAATCAAAATCAGTGCAAAGAGTTATCAAACAAATGTTGGTTCTTCTGAGAAGAAAGCTTGCTTCTTAGCACCCATTATGTTTAAAATATAGTTTGGACCTAGCCATGCGGAGTCAAACCCTTGACATTTTCTTGACATTGGCATTATGTGGGAAGTTCATAAAACTACAGTCGTTATTAACAGTACATGACATACCAGCGGATTGCTTGATACAGAAGATACTTTGCCGACGTGGGAGGTGTTTCTTACAACCTAAACAGTAACAGACTTAGTACTGGGTCCATATAAAGTATATAGCTAATAATAATTTTGAGAAACAGATCAATTTATACCAGATATTCTAATAGTTAGTTGTCAAGAATGTATTTGACAGGATTTCATTCAGTTCGAGCTGAATTTGAAATTAAAAGATCTGGGGAAAAAAAATTTAGCAACATAGAGAAGATTTACCAGTTTGAGTAATATTAGAAGAGTAAATTTATGGGACAGCAACAGTTGTCTTATTTTTGGCTTTAGCAGGCATAAACACCAGATCTTTTATCCTTTTATCGCTGAAGTCAAATAAATGCACTGCTTCTGCTTATCTTTTTTAAACAATAACAAAATTTTTTTTAAAACCCGACTTTTTAAAAAGCAGCAAGGATAAGTTGTCCAGCTTCTGATTTTTCTTCCATGTCTGAAACCACATCAGGAATACTGGGTTATCTACTTATAAACAAAGCAGCTTTGGCTCAGTATTAATATTTTACTAAGAGCTTAGTTCTTTCCTCATATACACTAATTATATTCAGTGAAAACTGGCTTATTTTTGAAGGCTAGGTTATTTTGTTGTTGTTGTTGCCCGATGTATTTTTCTTTAATTACTAACCTCTTTTCTCTAACATATCTAGCAGTGAAAAACTGCCAGAAACGTATATTGGAATATATGGGTTTGTGGTCAGATCCAGTATGGCAGTTCCTATATTACTACTTTTATCTGAATATTTTCTATTAGCATTAGGAGAATGTACTTCTCCTCTGAATGCTAGTATTTTGTACACCTGTGAACAAAAATGACTTGTGTCATTTCACATCATTTTTATTTTGCAAATAGCTTGGAAAACCTGTTATCCATAAGAACATCTGGCATCTCCATTTCAGTGGATGTAGCACATTCTTGGCACTTCAAACATGTAAATCACATAGATCAAGTACTACCAGAGGTCTACTTAAGTTTATAAGAGATTCATAGTTCATATTAGGGCAATTATTCACATAGAAATTATCTGCCAGTTTCCCTGATTAATTTGCATATCCTTCCCCTCTCCAACCAGAATGATGCAAAAGCAAAGCCTAGGACTTCCAAGTAAACATGCAAAAAAAATGAAAACCAACAATGCACTCAGTCAATCCATGCAGAAAGCTGTGTAGGAAAGCAGCGACCATATGGGATCGTCTTCTGCTGTTTGAAACAAGTAAGAATCTTTTGCCATAAAAACACGTACATGAATCCCACTACAGTGCTTAGCAAAGGGAATGATGATGAAACAGCTGCCATTTCTCTCCTAAAGTGAGATCTGGCACAAGATTTCTTATATTTTATCTTCTTTTGGACTGAGATTGTAATAAGGAGAAAGTCAGAATATTTTCTCAAAGAAATTCCTAACTCCTGTGTGTCCAAAAAAAGTAAAACCTGATTACCAACTCTCATTCATTTAAAAGTATTTTACTGGTAATTTATACTGTGTTGGTGTTTTAGAAGTTTGAGCTTCTGATTTTAAGCTAATTTTGTTCGTACACTCTTCTCATCTTACAAAGCAATTTGATGACATATTTAAAACACCTTCACAAGTCACTTTCACTACACAGATATTTCTCTCAAACTTAACTATGAGTTAAATCTGTTGACTGCCACTGCTTTTTTTTTTTAATAAACACTCAAGTCCAAATTGTCTTTTTAACTGACACATTCTGCCCAAGATACCTGCATGTGGTAGGCTTACAACATATATAGGGAGGAGACAGCAAAACCCTCTCAACCTAAATTTTAAAAAAAATTAAAATAAAACTTCCTCTGGACTGCATTCACTACTATGAAACAATGAAACCATCTCACTCCGTCTTTTAACATTGCATATGGCAGATGGGTAGATCCAGTGGATAAAGTGGGTGATGGAGCAGGGAAGGGAGGCCAGGCAGGGGAATGATAGAGGCACATGCATTCAAACAGATCATGAGGTCACCTGGGAAGCTGGTGTTACTGCCAGGGCTGGACCTCTTGAAAGTGGAACATTTGATGCAGGAAGTGGATGAGCTGATGCTGCTGGAGTAACAGTGAGTGGTGGTGGCAGAGGTGGTGCCACACGTTGCTTAGGCTTGTCAACTTCATCTAAGTTTATATCATCAAGATCTGTGGTATGAAGCTGCAGACCACCAGCAAAACACCGCATTGATGTGGCAGAAGGAGAAGCGGAAGGTCGTCCACTTGCCAACTATGTGCAACAGAACAGAAATCTGCCTTAACGGTTCATCTGCCCGCCACAGCTCTGAAGAAATTAATGGCAAATGCTAGCACATCACTCAGCATAACTGCTCCTGCACAGGAAGCTCTTGGCTTCTCCCACACAGAATACACACAAACTTTTTCTCCAAAAGCCTTTTTAAAAGCACTCCCTGGGATTCCAGCTTAACAAGAAAATTGGAATGCTGTGACAGTAGCCTTGGCTGTTGCAGCAGGGAGGGATGACAAAAAAACCAAACCAAACCAAAAAAACACCAAACAAAACAAAACAAAAAAACAACCTGCATGGAGTCTTCAGAAGGTAAAATCATAGGACAAATCACAGATAATACAACTCTTGCCTCTCTAGGTCTTATGAAGAAAAAGCAAGAATTGCTCCTTGCAAAGTTGATTATATAAAAGGAAAGTAATCAAAGATGGGCCCTGAAATTCCATGCCATTAAAAAAGGGAAAGGGGCTAAAGGCTGGTGTAAACATAACCAGATATTAATACAAGAGGGGGAAGTAAGCTTAAGCAGCTATAAAACCAAAAAGTTTAGGGTGCTATGAAACTCAGATCCTCAGGAGGTTCTGGACCTTCTAATTTCTGTTAATCAACACCAGATGCACTGTGGGGCTAACAAATTCCAGAGTTTGAACATAAAGAGCAGCTCACCCAAAAAGCACGTTTGTGTGCATGAAAAAGGATTCTACATATGCTGTTAGAGTTGCTAACATTTCTTTTATCAGTGATCCAACTGAAGTATTTAAGTAAATCCAGTTGATACTCTTTCATTTTGCTATTTTGTAGACTCAGCTAAGGAAGTATGACAGATAGCAAGCTGTCCTACAGACACATGCATCTTAGTCTAATATGACAATACTTCCCTCAAGTGGGTATCTCTGTTGGCATTCTTTGGGATCTCCTTATCTGCCTTACTCGCCCCTTTGTACCATAAAATAAGTATTTCTTTGGCAGAAGTCAAGAGATCTTGACGGCTCTTGTATCCAAGTAGCAGTTCAAGCCTGTAGTACCTGAATATTGTTCAGCTGCATTTATCCCTCAGAAGCATTATGGTTTTGTGTTTCACATGAGTTTAACTGCTTGGGTAGTTTTGTAGAAGAATTGTAATAGAATATTTATATATAACATAATAGAAGAATTGACGGAGCAAATACAACACAGAGTGCTTGTCTTAAATCAGGGTAGAGCTCTGGAAACACAACAGTGATTTTAATCTGTAATGTTCCCTCTCACTTTACAAAGTAAGGGGGACAAAGATCTACCAGAACACAGGCAGCCAAATTTAGGTAGTGAGAAAAAACTCAGTATAATCATTCCACTGTCCTACAGACCTGCACTGAAGAGCCACATGGATCTGAGCCCGAGGCCAGGAAGAACAGACCAGCTGCTTTTTTCAGAGCTGCTCCACATTGACCTGAAGGAAATTCATGCGAGAGTGTTCCCCAAGGATCCCCTTTGTGGTTGCAATTTCTTGGGGATCCCGGGGGAATTCAACAGATTGCAGTGTTCCTCTTGAAAGCAGCTGGGCTTGGAAGACAGCCAGAGCAGCAGAATGGTGGGAAAGCATCACTGCACATCTAGAACCATCATGCTTTTAAGGCACAATCACTATCTGCAACTCCCTTCGTTTAAGGGGACTATTTAAAATACAAAACTGAACCCTGTTCTTTGGGAGTTTCTTATCTTTTTGTCATTTTCTTAACCTATACCTTTATTCCACGCAATACAAGGAAGCATCCAAGAGCTCATCATCAATGATGTTCTTTTTAGCATAGGATACTAAAAAATATGGCTGGGTATTCTAGTCTCAGTTTTATTATTGGTAGCATGTCCCACCTAGCCCAAACAGCTCACGAGCCAATAAAATTGTTAATTTTGTGGTGATAATATACTTTAAAAGGACAAAATAAAACCAGTTCATTAAAATAATAAAAAAAATTCCATACAATATAAGAACAACAAATGGTATAGATTGTAATTCATCAATAACTGACATTTTTTTCCCCTCTTAGAATGAAGGCTGAGAGGGAAAAAACTGTTGCTTTTACGAAACAACTAGCGAGTTATTTAGAGATCATGCAATATATAGAGAGGCCAGAATTTTACCTCAGGAGACTCATTCTCCACAGAGGAAATCTGTTCTAACCGTGTCTGACAAAGTCTTTCCACCCAGTGCTGCACCTTTTCTGATTCTTCCAGGTCTTCTCGTTCTGTCTCAGATACCTTAACCATAACATCAGTGCATGAAGAAAGGTTACAGGTATAGTTACAATACAAGTATGTTTCAAAAGTATGAAATGCCATTTAAATTAGTTTTAAAACTAATTATGCTTTTGAGAATGATTTCCTATTTTGCTGTCTTTCATTAAATTCATCACTATACATGGACACTCATTAACTGCAGAGGTATCCTCATTTGGGCAAAAACTGACTGTAGAAACAAGCAAACTTGGGAAGAGAGTTTTGCAGTGCAACAGCAATTTTTTTAAACTTCACTATCTTCGACATAATTAAACAAGTGTCCTGCTAAGATAATTCCAGTAAAGATTCAGCTCATTGTTTTTCTTTTGCACTTGATAGGAGAACACAACATACCTCTTGCACGAGACGATTTATTTTCAGTTGTTTTTCTTTCTCCAACATTCCTTCTTTCTCTTTGGCGAGTTTTTGCTGAAACTCCATTTCCTTTTTATTCTTCTTCTGTTCACATAGACTGTCACTTTTTGACTTCTTTCGCTCTTTCCAATGGTTTTGTTTTTCTTTTCTTTTTTTTTTTAGTTAAACAGATCTTTACATCAGCTAAAAACATTGCAAACTTCAAGCTCAATACATGAGTGCCTGCCTTGAAAATTTAATTACAGTCTGTGCAAGTATGGGGATGGTCTTTCAAAAGAAAATCTAAAGTCCATTTCCCCAGCAATTTGCAGGAAATTATACCTTATTTGGAGGACCTGTGCACATTAAGGTAAGTAGGACAAGATCAGACAGTTTTTTGCTCCTCCACAAAGTTACAACATTAGGGCACAAAGGCCCACTACAAAACTTTGAATATTCAGTTTTGGTTAGGTCTTGATTTGCCATCTCTCTGTTCTGGCATTTTAATATAAATACAAGACTGACTGCTTTCAGGTGACAGATGCTCAGGTAGATGTGAATATTCTATGCATAAAACACCTTTATGCATATGTCCAAAAACAAGCATCGCATGCCTTAATACAACTGAAATAAGCAATTACAAAGGAAAGGCTTAGATCAGTGCAGAAACCAAACTGCTCTCAGGAAAGAACACTGCATCACAAAGACCAAGTAGCTCCTACAAGCACTGGATAACGTCTACTCATGTGAGTGAACTAATACAGTACAAAGCAACCCTAAAATTTTACACGTAGAGTGCAACCAAAGGGGAAAACTACACAGTCTTTTTGGAGCCTCTGCTCCTGTTGTCTTCGAAATAAATCCTGCTCCTTATTTCTACTTTAACGATGTCACATTTCTGCTACCCTCTTCCGTTTGTAGTGGTACGACCTAGTTCACATTCAAAAGCCCATGTTCTCTTTTTATTCATCAAAAAGTAAAAAGGAGGAGCAGCTGGCCACTTACTGCCAATTACGGCCAGTGCTCAGAGAGGCGAAGCTTCCGGTTTGATTTTGCTCTGCTCATTATCATCAGCTACTGACTTTTCATAATGGTTTTGGGAATTCAAAGCATGAACTTGCTTCACGTTACATAGCATTATTTGTCTTCCTTCCACCTTCTACATATAATATTGACAATAAAGCCTTGGAAAACAGACATTTTCCCTGGCAGCTACAAAAGTCAGTTCTCCCAGTCAAGTAGTTAATTGGAACTTTGTACTGCTGAGCTCAGTGGAATGTTGTCTATTGCTTCATGGTTAAGTGGTGGGGGGGGGGTG